AATATATATATATATATATATATGTAGTACTTTGCATTTTAAACCTACGCATGCAAATGTATATTTCACTTTCAAAAAATATTGATAGTGCAATTTTTGATGTGTTATTAAAAAATTTAGACTTATCCCGGGTTTAGAGACACGGCTTCATACTTGGTCTTGAATCGTCAGTTGATTGCTTACCTCAAGAAGAAGCTCTGGAGATGATTCCCCGCTCGACACCGACAAGACCCGCCGACAATGAGGCGTAAGTCATCACGCCAGAGAGTCTCGCGGATGTCCCGCAAAAGCTGCGACAAGTTCCGCCTAAGACCTTGTAAAGTTGGGAGATTCAGCCGAGGCGACAAACTAACCAAACAGGCGAAACACGAGCCAAACAGAAAATGAGTCACGTTTCACTCAACGAGAAAAACTGACTGATCACGTTCGACCGACCGACCACGCATCCTCGAACGACTTCCTCACAACCAATCGCTCTAGTCGACCGTGCCAAAAGACACCAATCAAGATTACCATGTAGCCGAACATCTCGATCGACCAACGTGTACTTCAGAGAACACATTTGTCACTCAGTCGGTCGCCCTCAGTCGACTTACTTTAAGTTAGCCGACCAGCCGATTACCGCACCACCAACTTTGAAATTCAAATTGTAATGCAAATATGACATAAAATATATACAATCAATTAAAATCTTAATGACATTAAGAATTGTTACTATAACTATTCTATTCTTTATCTAATTGTACAAAACAATGAAATATGTCTCTATAAATACAGGGCAAAAGAAAGAATAGGACTTTCTCCCTCGATTCTCCTTACAAAAATTTCAAACTTATTCTACTCTTTTCATTCTCTCTTTCACTCAGCTTTACCTTTATATATATCTATTTACACAAAGTTATTCCTATTTTATTTGGACATTTACATACATACCACATTTCTTTCTGTATTTACCTATCTAACACCCAAACATTCATATTTACATGTTTACACTGAAATCCTTAACATCACATAAAAAATACCAGAATTACAATTTTTTAATAGTAAAGTACTCCTTTTTATTACACTAAAATGCTATAAATATTAATATCAAACTTTAGGTGTGACATATGTAAATACATATGAATCGTGTGGAATTGGTCGGTGTAAATTTCCCTATTTTATTTTTGGGGAAGATCATTGGTTCTTTGGTTGAATTAGTGAAGATATGGTGCCCTCTTTTTTATTATTATTATTATTTTAAGATCCAATTAAAGTAATTGATGTTGGCAGTGTAAAAAAGTCAAATTGAGCTCGAGCTAGTTTCGATTCGATCGAGTTTGATTAATAAGTGTTGGAACTCGAGCTTAATTCTACGACTTCAAATCTGGCCATTTATCACAAAAGAGTAAAAATAATTTTAATGTGAATAGCAGCTATGATAAAATAACGGATGAATGAAAAAATCACATGATAAATAACAAAATAAATGAAGAGTTAGGCAATGTTAATGCAAAAAAAAAATAAAATATAGATGTTAGATATGTAAATACATAAGAATTGGGTGGTATGAATGTAAATGCCGCTCAAACTTGTTATGTTTTCATTTTTTATTTTAACTCAACTATAAAATGAATTAACAGACCAGAGTAGAGGATTGTGTCACGGACAAATAGTCCCACATCGGTTATGTGTAGGGCCGAAAAACAGTATTTAATTCCTGGGCTGCCCACCTCTCTTAAGGGCTCTTTTGGGAGGTGACAAGTGGTATCAGAGCAGAATACTGCCTGCTATGTGTGTGGACTCTCTATGGTCTAGTGGGACCCTCGGTGGAGCCGATCTGTGACTAGAGCGTCACGCGATTGGGTGGAGAAAAATGTCACGAAAAAATAATCCCACATCGGCTAAATGTAGGGCTGCAAATTAGTATTTAAGTCCTAGGCTGCCCACCTCTCTTAAGACTCTTTTGGCAGGTGAAAATTGGCTCGTTTATGAAATTTACACGCATACGACACAATTCTTACACATTTGCATATCTAACAACTAAAGTTTGATATTTATACATAACATTTTAAGTTAAAAACATGTACATAAAAAATATATTTTACTTTAAATTTTTTTGTAGAATCGGATAAAAAAATTAATGATAAAAATTCAAATAAACCTTGCCACCAAATCCATAAAATATGTTTAATTTAGTCTAAAATTTTTATATAAACCAACAAGCATGAACACAAAGCTAGGGCTGTGATTTTAGCTTGATAACTCAAAAATCGATTCGAATTTTGCCTCAAATCCAGATTGGATCGAATTAAACAAGCGGGGCTATGAGCCAAAGCTTTAGATGATTAGATCGAATTTTTTTCGAGCCGATTTTGAGTCATACACAAATTAACTCGAAACGATTTGAAATGTATTCTATATATATATATATATATATATATA